CGTATAACGTGAAAAACTCTGTCTCGTGAACCCACAGGAGGTGGAAGTTGTTGAAGCTGAGGTTACAGCATGTGACGGTACGTATAACCTGGTCAAGCTATACGGTCGAAATCATCTGCAATTCTTTTATAGCCTTGGTAAAATAGCGTAGAAGTGGCTACTGTCCAATTCCTTTTCCACATGATCGCGCCAAAACAAGGGCGGTGGAACGTAATCAGATAAAATTTTCGAAAAATGACAGTTACGGATAAACATTGAAAAAATAGGTAGTGGGCTGTGGAAACTCCGAACTGGGTGGCGGAGTGAATCCATTCTGGATGATACACGATTAATATGGCGTGCGCGGAAGGCAACTAAACGCATTTTCAAGAAGTCCACGGGTGACCAAAAACTGGAGTGGGGCGAATGAAGTTATAGTGAAGGTATACCTCATTTTAATTTCTTAATCGCACTTATAAACAGGGAAGTCACAAGAAAAAAGGTAAAGGAAAGGTGAAAAATTGGAAATTAGTTGAAGAACTCGGCAATAATTAGCGAAAAATGAACTTGAAAGGAAAATTATCACAAAATGCTGCTACAGGCGGATTACTACCATCGAAAGTTGTTCTTCCTTATCGAACATAACGATGCCATTATTCTCCCCAAAACGTTAGACCAAAGGTGCCCCAAACGTGTGCTATAATGGGTTACATATCAATATTAAACCTCTCATCCTCTTTCTCATGGATATGATTGCCTGTTTTATTCAGTCATTCACGTACGACTTGTGTATGGGGACACGTTCACCAGGTGAAACGTCTGTCAACTGACCATGTAGGTTGACTCCATTGCTCGACGCTAAATTGCACGCATTGCGTACTTGGTGTATTATTGGATAGACGTGTTACGACCACTTCCCGTTTGCTTCTATGTTTGTTTTGTGCAGAATCCTGATCTTCATGACTCAAGATATACAATTCAAATTGAATTGTAACCCCTAAATTCCCATTATCTGCCAGTGTTTACGCCACCGCGCTTTAAGATTCCACACAGTGCGGTGTATACTCAGGTAAAAAAAACTATTCTCTTTTCATAAAGGAAACTACTCGCAAGGTTGCTGAAAACTCTTCGACGGCTCACGACCGGTTTTACCCTTCTTGGGGCTCATCAGGTAGGCGCAGTCCCCGAGTTTCCGTCGTAAACGAGAGATTCAGTTCAATCTCTCGTGAAAAACAAATTGAGTTGCAAATGAGTGTATTTCTCGAAAACTATTCTCTTGTTCCAAAGATTTGATCGAGAAAAAATATCCTCATTTTATACAGCCATTATGCTCAAATCTCTCAGGGCATTGGCAGTGCATGCATTAGCAAATCTGTTTCCATAATGAATTGTCGGCGTCTGGTCCGTTCGAAGAGTACATGAGGAGGCCTGGTCTGGATAAATAGCTAGACGCAAGTCGCCTTCACAATCAGCTGTTTGAAAATCTGCCTTTTGTTCTACAATCTGATTTGCCTGGTTATTTGTTGCAATAAAACTGAGTTATCTAAATGGTGCCATTTTAATAAATAAACGAAGAGTAATGTTAATCTATCTGATGAGCCCGGCAGTCGTAATCAGCTATTTAAAGCACACAGAGCGTCAATCCACCATGTGAAAAACAGATCGTAAAGAAGGCATCTAACTTTGGAAGATGGGATTTTTAGTGTTCTCACTTAGTGAAAACAAAAGGATTCTTGCAGAGAGTTAATAGCTCCAATTTCGGGATCTAATTAAAGGTGAACTTGAGTTGGGTGAGCAAAGCCTTGTATGGCACCCAGACAAAAGCAAGTCCATCGGACTTCGTGGAAGGGCACCAGTCTTATATGTAAGCTGGCTGAATATTAGTGATGCTGGAATTCAGCATTGTTTGATCCTATATTGAAAGAAGTGGTTTGGAACTCAGGAGAAAGTATCAACAACACGAGTTGCTTCCATCGTGTATTTGGAAACGGAGTATAGTCGGACATGCATAACTATCCAGTTTTAGTCCTAGTTCGCCTCTTTTGTGCGACTTCTAATTAGGCTACCGGGTAAAAAATGGAACACAACTTCAATTGTGCAGTCTGAAGATTTGACTGATACTCAGTTACCGGGGTGAGACTGAATATTAAGCACATTGCATGAAACGCACCGAGGTGATGAGTTCAGCCAGTCGTAAAATCCTCAACTCACGAGGTACTGGATCCACCGCTGCTTAAGTTGTGATGGGTTATGAGCTAATGCTGGGCGGAATTCACGGGAGATGCTTACCATGAAGCAGACGAATCAAAAGGATTGTGAAGGCAGTCGATAGCTGAAGCTGCCTATCCCGCGGTCTACTAGGCTAACAACATAGACCACCCGGCATGAGCACTGTCACTGAACTGTTAGAGCATTCTGGGCCTGAGCTTGTCCAGACTTGTAGATGTATTTGTCAGCTTCCTTTCCTGTAACTGGTTCGATCAGGCTCCAGTCGGCTGGGAGCGCTGCGCAACTTGGCCTGGTTATCCACGTGGAACAGAAATCACCTGTTTCCAGTACTTTTTGGCATCGGAGAGTAGGTTGTATTTTCTTTTGTGCAGTCCTCTACGCGACCCATTAAATAAACAGCTGAATCTTTCACCGGATGACGGCGTAGTTGTCCCGGGGAACCTGTGTTCGGTTGACCAACTGGTGACGGCGTTGCGTGATAGGTATTCACGTGCGCAAATGTCCTGCATGCGTCGACTTGCTCCAGTGTCATGAGTTTGGATCCCAACCCTGAAGCAAAGGTCAGAAGGTTAGCATTAGCGGGCGAACTATCAGAGTTGGATTCCGAGAGTGACAAGTTATAATCCACGGTTTATTCAGACCTGTGTAACGGCAGATATTACTGATAAGCCATCCGAGTAGTGCGTTATTTTCTCCAAGCTCCGTCCCGCGTCCAATGGAAGGTGAAGTTTGTTACGGAACTTGTGAAACTGCTTTGCAGTTTCAGTTCACAATTGCGTGCTAGTCAGTGGATATTGACGTTTACTTTACCTATCCATGTTCGTTTACTTTCTTCTCCATAAGTTTGTAACTGCTTACCTGGTATTTGCTTATGAAAGACGGCAATGAACGGTTATAAAGCATATCGAAAACTGATGGTGATATGAGGAGGTTTGATAATTTCGGTTGAAAACTACCAAATCTCATCAGACAGCTATCAGTCTGTTAGTGGTTCAGAAGGAGAGTAATTTTACGCGATGGATGAAACCCCCATCTGAGAAGTCGTCACTTGAGAAGACAGTCGATCAGGACCACCCGATATGTCTTCTGTGATTAAGAGTAAGCGGGGTCATATCATGTTTGAGTGAGAGCTAATCATCCTGCTGTTCAGTTGCTCGTAGCTGAATACCTAGGAGTGCAAGTACTAGCCGGAGGGACAAGGCTTTGTGAAATGCGAACTGCTAGTGATTCTAATAAGAACAGAGCAACTGTTCGGTGCTTGTCGTCTTTCCAGCATAGACCTGCTTCACTTACAGGGTTAAATCTCAATTTGCTATTGAAAGTTTCCCGTTTATATTTGGCATATTCGTTGGGTTTAGCTTCACAGCGCGCTATCCGTGGTTCGAGCCTAACATCCGCATCTCGATTGTTCATGTCTATGCTAGGGCAACCTGGCTGTAGCTCCACCTTTGTGCTTCCTTCAGGTGGCACGGTATCTACGCACTGAAAGCGTACTACAGTTGTGCGATCATTATTTCTTATTTTATTTAGAAAGCACTATTATGGCTGCTAACAAAGCATTGGAAGGCAGGCATTGGCGGGAATATACGGTAGTTGTCCTACCATATTCATTTGGCCTGATGACGTGTGCACAGTTCGCCATCAATGAATTTACTGAGATAACGCCGCACAAAAGCATGTTTCCAGGCAGGTTCGGAAGTAAAAAAATTAAATTGTTTTAATGAACCTGTTTTCCGTAAGGTCCTATCCGTTGGTACAGGAGCAAAGCCTAAGTCAGAAATATATGAGGTAATCTGTGGAAAAGACTAACTGTAAACTCAGGTCATCAATGGGATAAACGGAGTGTCATTTTCGGGACTGATGGTGTGTAGTGGTATAAGATGCTGATAGGCATACGCATGCAGTGAGTTAGCCATTTACATATGGTGCTTCTGACGACGAGAAAGTAGCTGTCGGTGTCCAATAACCAGCACTTCTGTACGACCGTAACAGCATTGTGCACACAAAACAGGCCAAGCATCAAAGCGGAGAAATCAAGTACACTGAGCAGTTAAAGTACATTCGTCTTCCTAAAAAACCTCATTCTATTCAGTATTTTTTTTCTTATTTATCATTCATGTGTTCATGTGCCTTGTGTGGCTCACAAACCTACACAGTTTGACGAATAAGGTTATCAACCAAAAGATATTAAAGCTCGTGAGCCTGTAGCGTGTGGGCGTTTTTGTTCGTGAGGAATCTTATTTATCATTCATGTGTTCATGTGCCTTGTGTGGCTCACAAACCTACACAGTTTGACGAATAAGGTTATCAACCAAAAGATATTAAAGCTCGTGAGCCTGTAGCGTGTGGGCGTTTTTGTTTCGTGAGGAATGCAATCGACAATGAAGTTATAGTTTTAGAATAGTGACCAAACACCACGCCCTTTACAACATGACAAAACGTTCCACACCCTTGCAGTAACTATGAGGACTGTCAAATTGACCATCAGATTGGCCATCAAAGATTAAGCAACCAAAATGACGATTGAGCCTCAGACGTCCCACTCATCGGAATAACTCAATTCACTTTTCAACTTTGATACTCAGGCATAACCAAGTCCAAAGTCACAAATACATAGGGTCCAACTATTCGAGTGTGATTGAAAGTCTTTCCTGGTCCCTTCATATAAATATGTTTTTTAAAAGTGACGAAATTAACAAGGTGTTTATCTGGTCTTCACTATAGTTTTTGCTCGCTATTTGGTGCCCGATACGCATATAAATTAAACACGGAAATTTGAACATCACGGCAAAATGCGATTCGAATTGTGTTATCTGGTTGCACTTGGTTACTTTGGTGTCTTGGGGAGTACCATTCCTGTGAGTTTGACCCCGCATTATCCAATATTTAATACATTATATTAACTGATTTGTCTGTTTTTACTCTATCTACTGGTTCACACCACATACCCAGGAAGTGGAAAATGCTCGGCAGTTGTACGAAGAGTTCAAGCTGAAGTACCAGAAGTCGTATTCAAATGACGGTAGGTCCGACGCTTGTGACCAACTATGCCTCATGACATTTAGACGACGAATATAGATTCAGAGTTTTCAGGGATAACCTATTGCGCATAAAGCAATTTCAGAACATGGAGCGGGGAACGGCAAAGTACGGTGTGACTCAGTTTTCTGACCTCACAGGTAAGGACCTCAATGAACGGACTGATTTGGTAAAATTACCTCGCACTCAGCTCAGGAGTTCAAGGTTAAGTACCTAAGATCGGAATTTGGTGGTGGTGTTCCCGTGGACAGGGAATCGGTTCCATTCACACAGACGGCTGTGAATGACGACAACTTTGACTGGCGAAATCGTGGTGCTGTTGGACCGGTATTGGACCAAGGAGATTGCGGATCGTGCTGGGCATTTTCTGCGGTTGGAAACATCGAGGGTCAATGGTTCCGTAGGACTGGTGAGCTCTTGAAGTTAAGCGAACAGGTGAGAGTCAGACAAATGCACGAACAGAGTGGTACGATAGAAAAATAAACGCGTCTAAGTCACATATAGAGGTTGATTTATTCTCCTGTTCAATAATTTTTTGAAGTTACAAATGACAGACTCTCGATTTTATTCTTACCGTGTAGCAACTCGTTGACTGCGATGAGGTGGATCAAGGTTGCGACGGCGGCACTCCTCCACTGGCTTTCAAGCAAGTTGTGGAAATGGGCGGGTTGCAGCTGGACTCCGACTACCCATATGAGGAGAGTGAAGGACAGTGCAGAATGGTGCCCTCAGAGTTCAAGGTATACATTAATGGCTCAAAACTTCTGCCGGAAGATGAGGAAGTTCAGGCTCAAATGCTCAAGGAAATCGGGCCTCTAAGCAGCGCTCTAAATGGCATTTTCCTGCAGGTGAGTCACCGTTATTTTGTGGCTTGTTCTTGGGTGCAAAACCTATAACTTTTTATGTTTTTCAGTGAACCGTTTGGGTGTAGTTTTTTTGCCATCAATGATGTGTGTGTGTGTGTTTATCAATGAGTATACCACTGAAGGGAAGGTTTAAGCTGCATACAAGCAACATAAGCGTTATGAACCTCAATGATTTGAGGTTGGTGAATTTGTCCCACTAAGAAGGTTCAACCTCGCGTTGTAGAATATCTGACGGAAAAGCAACACCGGCCTGCACTTTAACATGTGCATATATTTCATTATTATGTGAAATGATGGGATGCTAATGAAATAATAGTTTAGTTCCTGTGATTTGCATGTGTGCACAAATCTTGGCTAACCCTGGCGATACACTTTCCATTTCCTAGTTTTACCAGGAAGGGATTTTGCACCCCCTGCAACCCCTTTGCGATGTACAATCGTTAAACCATGCTGTTCTAACTGTCGGCTACGGGAAAGAAGGCAGGCTTCCATACTGGACGGTTAAAAACAGCTGGAGCTCCATGTTTGGCGAAAATGTAAGTACAAAAACTGACCTCTGAGATGAGAGTGCAAAATTTGAAAAAGTACTTGAAAAAGTCTGATTTCTTTTCTGACTAATAACACGGCGAATTGTTCCTCAAAGTGTTGGTGCAAACTTTGTCTATCTCAGCAGATCATCTGTAGAATGAATGAAGAAAACACGACATAATTAGCTATATATATGTGTATATATGTACGAATATGCTGCCCCAGGGACACTTGTATGGTATATAGCTAGTGTGGCACTTGGCAAATATAACGATGCTGGTATCTCTGCGATGGACGAGTGACTAGTTTGCTCACTGTTGTGCCTGACTTTTCTATCCAACAGATGGCTACCAACAGGGCTTATACATTTTCACCTGTTCATGTTATTTGAAGTGGCCCAAGGAGGTGCCTAGGGTATACGCTAGTCCAAAAATTATCGACCGACTGGTAGACCCGAGGTCATGGGACACGAAATACTATGCACCTATTTGAAATTATTTTTGCCTATATCATTTTTGATTGGTGTATAGTGGAAGGTCAGCCACCAAGATCGTACATTTACTTGTTCTGTTAACTGGCCATTCTTAGATAAGATATGAAGAGATTTTCAAATGCCTAAAGGAAGTTGTTGGAGGGCTGATGAACGCTGTCATAAAGGGTTCTGGACTAGACGACCAGATAATGTATAGACTGAATGAGAGTTTGAGTAGTAGGTGATCGTATTGGAATAATTAATTATCTGCTGCTTTGAAGGCGTTTAAAAGGAAGGCGTAGAAACAGTCCTAAAGGAGGGAACAACCGATGTTGTACTTTCTAAGTCTGATCAGGTAAAGCTGTTCCTCAGATGTTTCTCAGTTAGAAGGATGTCAGCTTATGCAACAAAATTTTTATTCGAAACTTGAGTACCAAATAAATCAGAATAGTTTCATACAGAAGTGCTGCGTGCGCTTCCAAATGTGGTTGATTAGCCGTTTCATCAAACCTGAGTTTTATGCTTACAAACAATGGCAGAATATATATATATA